ATCATGAATACACGTGCTTGTGTCGGTTTCTTTCTATCACGCCGAACACTTTGATCTTCAATCAATCAACGTAAAAGAACATTGTGGAAGCGGCGTCGCCGAATGGTTTTAGGGCGCTGGATTTGAAATCTGGAGGTCCCTGGTTCAAATCCTCCGCCCTACCGCTATATGGATTTGTTCTCGGTAGCCCCGAGTTCAACTCCTCCAACGCGTTTTGTAAATAGCCACCTGGTCAGCCTCCCACCAGTTGGGATTCTTAATAGTTAACGTTCTATTTGAATTATTTGTTTATCTACTAACAGTGTACCCAATTAGCACAACAATGCTAAATATATTCGACACTTAGAATAACGTTATTTATTTATTTATTTATTTATTTATTGCGTTCGACAGAACGAAGTTCTAATCGCGTAATGCAGAAAATTCGAGATCTGTGAATCTATCTATCTATCGGGGGACACCAATTTGGCCCCCCCCCCCAAAAAAAAAATAATTCTTCAGGGGCGAATGACGTCATGTCCATGTTTGTCCATGGGCTTTCTTTCGAGTGTTGCGCAATATTGAGGACTTTCGAGTGTCGAGGAAGCTTATATTATTGTGGACTCTAGCGGATACTGAAGTTATTTATTTAAAGTTCGAGGTCAGTGTTAAGGTGCGGTAATACGGGCAACATTTTACTTCAACTTGTCTCGCAACATTGTTGCATTGCAAGTTGAAACACTCTGTTGCGCGTATTACCACGTGTGTGACCAACTTGTCTCGCAGCAAAATACAGTGTTGCAAGTCTGCGAATTCTGCACGTTTCATTACTGCGTCAATCGTGTGCAAATAAAGATGGTGCCTTCTTTCATATAATTTAGCGTTTCGGCGGGCTTCCATTTCGACTTCTGGCCGTCATTTTCTTCTTAATTTCCCGTGCCATTCTCTCAGTATGAAGCTCAGTGTCATTTCAGAACAAAATAAAGCTTTGTTGTTGTTGTTGTAAAAGATAGCTAGGCGAAAAGTTGTATTTCTGCAAGTTCTTTCAAGCCTTTTGTCCTTTTTGCCGCTTGTTTTGAAGGGACAAACGATGTGCCCCAAAGACTACGATAGCCCTCGAGGACTTTGTG